GCCCAATCTCATCCTGTACAGGAAATTTCTCCCAATCTCTCTCAAAACCAGGGCCTTCGCTCTGAGACTAGCTCCAATTTATTTGTACTTAGGGTTTGCGAGTTGTCATTCTCACTAGATTGTGAACTCCTAGAGAGCAGAGACTGCCATTCTTTGTATCCCCAGTGCTCAGCATAGTGCCTGGCATGTGGTACATGCTCAATAAATGCTTTTAACTTAATTAATTTATTTGGGAAGCAAAAATCAAGATCGTTTCATTAAAAACCTGCTTTGCACCTGTATTGCCTGGGCAATACCACTCACACACATTTTCCCCAAAGGTAACCTACATTCTTGAAAGGTTCCCAGATTCTACAAGGCTTGGTGGGCTCACCCTGACCTCTGCTCTCTGGGGGGCACATTTCTGGGGTTAATCCACTGCTCCTAAACCTTGATATACTAACATGCTCAAGGAATGGGAGTGATTGGAGTGAAGGGAGGAGTATTACAGTTAATTAATTTGCTTCTCTAAGTAGAAAGCCCTTATTGGTTCAACACTTATTGAAAATCTTTCCAATGATCTGGTCTTAATTAATAATAGGTGAAGCTGCTGGCTCCCTGCTTGCATTTGAAGGATGCTAAGAAGATATTTCCTGTTCCCTCTATCCATCATAAATCTGAAATTCCACCATTAGAGATTCATTTTTTTTTTGCATTATGCAAGCTTCTAGGGCTTCTTGGATCCCCCTTTCCCAGAATCAATGATCTTTTACCCTCTCAGCTACTACAAAAGTCCCTTCAGAGCATTATATACCCTAATTTCTATAAGAAAATTCACTGACATTTGAGGGGTAGCTGAGAGGCAGAGATTGGAATCTCAGGGACAGGCAGCAGCTGCAGGACATAACTCAGCAGAGGATGGGGGAAGGGCCAAGAGGGACACTTTTAAATGATCATCCCTGTGCATATAACACTCAAATCTATATTATACAACCCTCATTTCTCTCCTGAGTTCCAGTACCTAATCATCTATTGCCTGCTGGACATCTCCACATGGATGTCCCATAGGCATCCTACAACATAACTCATTATGTCTTCCTCCTTCCAAAAGCAAAAAAGCTTAAAAAACCCCAAAACAAAAACCCTAACAAACTGCCCCTCTTTATAACTTTCTGATTTCTTTTGAAGGTACCACCATCTTTCCAGTCACCCAAGTTCCCAGTGAGTCATCCTTGAGTCTTCACTATTAAACTTAAAACTGTGTCATGACAGCTGATTGTTAAACATGTACTAGCACATCCCTGCCTGCATGTATGTTCTGTGCTTCAGAGTATGTGACTAGACCTGCAGTTAGGTGACGCAGAGGATAGAGTGCCTGGCCTGGAGTCAAGAAGACCTCAATTTAAATCCTACCTCAGAAACTAGCTATGTGAACCTGGGCAAGTCATTTAACTGTTGCCTCAGTTTTCTGTAAAATGAGCTGAAAAAGGAAATGGCAAACCACTCTAGCCTCTTTGTCAAGAAAACCCCAAGTAGGATCACAAAGAGACATAACTGGAAAATGACTAAACAACAATAACAAATATCCAGGCCTATCTAACAATGAGCCATATTATAACAGCATTCCACTATGTCTTTACCTATATAAATACACACACACACACACAATGTTTATAGCATAATGATGAAGGAGGCATTATGACTCTCATTTTATATATGGAAGGCAAGAAGAGTTAGTATGTTACATAATGTTAACTGTATGGTAAGTAGAAACAGAACCACAAGTGTGACCCAATACTTTTGACTACTAGTTAGAAGAACTGGGTTCCAATCCTTACCCTTGCTCTGTGACACCTTGGGCCAGACACCTCGTCTCTCTGGGATTTAGTTTCCTCACCTCTAGAATGATAGTGTTGGATTTAGCTAAATCTCTGGGTTCCCTTCCAGCTTTAAATCCCATCTATGGTCCTTGCATTGGAGTTCCTCTCTTGCAAAATCTATTGGAGTCTGCTACCTAACAGATGCAGCAGACATGCAAACCCAGGGCAAGGAAGGCTAAAGCAGGTCTCACAGCAAGCCTGATTGGGACCATTCATCTTTGCTCTATGGAGATACAAGGAAATAAGGGACTTGGGGTAAGACTGCTCCATTCAATTCAATTATCTTATTCTATTCAATTCAGCCAATTTTGAGCAAGGAAGATCTCTTGGGAGACATGCAAAGAAAGTAAAAATAGGCTCTGCTCTTAAAGAGTTTTCTGTTTTAGCAATCTGCGGATCTTTGGGGGCATTGCTCTATTTGGGGACATCAGGTACCCTAAATGTTAGTATTTCAAAACTTTGGCAATGCAGTGGGAAGGAGTTGGAGTTGGGGTTGGAGATGGGGTGGAAGAGAATAAATGATAGAGGCTCTATCAAATCATAGCTCTGGAATCACAGTTGATTATTGCATTGATCAGAATTCTTAAGTCTTCCAAAATTATTTTTACTGTGTTAATGTTATGATATACAATTTTCTCCTAGTTCTGTTCACTTTACTATGCATCAATTCATGCAAGGCTTCCTAAGTTTCTCTGAAACCATCCCCTTCATCATTTCTTACAGCATTATAGTATTCCATCACATTCATACTCCGTAACTGTTTAGCCATCCCCCAACTGATAGGCATCCCCTCAGTTTTTAATTCTTTTGCCACGAAAAGATTGGCTACGAATATTTTTGTACTTAGTGTAGAACCTTTGAGGTAACACTTTTTGAACTTTAAGTTCAAATATAAATATAATATACAAATGGGTATATAAAACATACAAATGTTACTCATACAAATGATTTCCTATTAATTTAAATAATATATAATATAATATATACTTCATTGGGGTCCTAACTTCTAGACACAACAAATGACAACAACCTTTCTATACATTTGGCCTTCCTGAGGTGCTTAGGCTAACTATTTAGCTATCTGCAGCCAGCCTAGTAATAAACTTTTCTGAATTAGGTTGGCCCTTAAATGACAGACACGGCCTACACTAGGCCTTAATGCATACATTTTTTGTTTGGACCTTGGAACTTTATTGGTGTGGGAAACTCCCATTGTAGAAACACAGCAAGTGGTTTCTAAAGAACAGATCTTAACGTGTTACCCCTGTACCCCAACTCTAATGGCTCTCTTATCTCTGGAATAAAATACACATTTCTTCAATTGTCACAAACTTCTTCACAACTTATTTTTTCCAGTGTTTTTTTTCACCTTCCTTCTCTCCCCATACTCTCTGGCTCGGCCATACTGGTCTACAAGCTGGTCTTCATATGTGACACTCCAACCCCCCCAGCTTTCTGTACAGACTCACATGCCTTTTTCTTACCTCTTCTTCTTGGAAACCTTGATACTCAGCTAAAGTGAAACCTGCAGGAAATCTTTCCTGATCCCCCTAGACGCTGGAGCCTTCCCACTGAAGTTATTTTGTATCTCCTTTGTATGTATCAGATTTTTAAGAACACATAAAAATGTGTTATTTCCTTCCACATAGGCAAGATCTTGAGGTCAGACGCTATTTTGCCTCTGTCTTTATATACCCAGGGCTCAGCATAGTGCCTGTTCTACAAGAGGTGCTTAGAAAATGACTGTTGTTTATTAGACCATGCAGATTGGCAACTAGTCTGTAATTTGGTAATGGGGGCTGGGGCACTGAAATATTAAGGGATTTGCCCGTGGTCAAGGCAACACTTGTCTTCTCAACACTTCGTCAACTCAACAGGTCTTCTTGATTCTAAGGCCTCCAGGCTTTACACTGCTGTTGTAGTGCTATATTAGATAATACTTATTATAGACTTTATATGTAACATAATACTCTGGGGGGGAATGTCAAATTTGTGCTTAAGAGGCAGCCTGTTATAGAGGATAGAGGATGAGGCTTGGAGTCAAGAAGATGATGTGAGATTTAGAATCCTGTGCCTTCCTGAGTAACCTTGACTGGACAAGTCCCTCTCGATTTCTGGGTCTGTTTCTCCATGAGTAAAATGACTGGGTTGGATTAGACGGGCTTCCAGGTTCCTTCCAACTCTAAATCTATGATCCTATCTATGCCGGCAACTTTCATTTTTGTTTATGTACTCCATTTCCCCTATAGGGGGTAAATTTATTGAGGGTAGGGACTGTTTAAGCCTCCTCTTACCAGTCTTTTAGATGCTTAATAAATACTAGTTGATTGCTAATTTAGCTGCAGGGGCGGGGAGGAAGGGGGAGGGGGGAGACACAGAGTAGGGACTTGCACCCACACCTCTGTGACTTCCCAGCCAGCCCTCCAACTCCTGGGCCATACTACCTCTCCTAAACCCACCCTGCACAGAGTATCCAGTTGGTACCACTACTACCATTCCAAGCTGTACCCATAATATGTGATAATAGCGACCACATAGTCGCATCACATTCCACAACGTGGCATATCACTGAACGCGCAGGTTACGTGCGACATGTAACAACACAAAACATTATGAATAAGCACAAACACAAAGACAGAATTTTCCGGGGAGCGCTACGCATGCACGGGAAACGAGTCTGCTGAACGCAGCCGCGGCGGCGCTCCGCCTGGCCAGAGGCCTGCCTATGCACCCCGAGGCCGGGCGGGGGAGGGGGCGAGGCGAAGGGGCTGCCCCCCCCTTCTTTCTCCTCCTTCTTTCTTGGGCTCAGACTGGAGTGAAAGGGGCGGGGCGGGGCGGGCGGGCGCGCTGGCTCGGGTCTCCCGGGAGGCCCTGCAGGGGGCGCTGTCCGGGTTTCGAGGCCACTGGCTGCGGGACGAGCGGCTCCATCCAGACAGACATACCAGACAGAAGGGCGGGCAGGCAGGCAGGCAGACAAACAGACAGGCAGACAGACAGACAGACTGGGATTGACAGGCGGGGCGTTGGGGGGGCAGGAGGAGGAGGTGGAGGAGAAGGAGGAGGAGGGCAGGGGCGGGGGGCGGGGAGGAGGAGGAGAGAGCGAGAGAAGGAGGCGAGCGAGCGAGGGAGGAGGGAGGCAGACACAGACACAGACCGGGGACCGAGTTAAAGGAGGAGGAGGAGGCTCGGGAGGCTCAGCCAGCGCCGCCGCCTCTCAATCCGCCGCCATCCTGCTGCCTGAGCGCCCCTCTCGCCGCCGGATTGGGATTTCTCGGCACTGTCGGACCCCCGGAACCAGACCAGGTGGCTATTTCGGGGCGCCGGGGGAGACGCGGCCGGGTTCTGGGGGGGCGGGGGAGGGGGGCCGGGGAGCGCTAAGATGGAGCCCGAGCCTGGGGGCCGCCGCCGCCGCAGCCACCCTGCTCACGGCCCCGGCCCCGGCCCCGGCCCCGGCCCCGGCCTCGAGCCGGGCCTCGGCCTCCTCTCTGGGCTTTTGTTTCTTCCCCGCCCTCCAGCCAGGGGGAGGGGGCGCCGGGGGCGGGGTGACAGGGATAATAAGCGCGTCCCCCCCTTCCCCTTGCAGAGTGGGGGCAGGGAGAGCAACCCCCCCACCCCCTCCTCACTGGGGGGTGGGAGCGACTGGGTCGAGCCGCGGCTCTTCTGCTCATTGTTTACACCGCCGTGACACCCCTCCAATTCCCGATCCAGTCGGAGTCTGAAGAGGCCAGGTCGGATTTGAATGCCGCCTCCCCCCCCCCCCTCTCCCCTCCGGCCTTCCTACCCCCCCCATCTTTCTCCCCAATTTTCTTTGCTTCCCCCGCAAAATTGTTAACCCTCCTCCTTACTCGCTAGTTATCTCTATCTCTTATCTCCCCAATTCTCCGATCTCATTCCCCCTGTTTACTTTTCCTGTTCGCCCTTAAATTTTCTCTACTCCCCACCTCTTTCGTCCCCCCAAATTCTCTTTGCTCACCCTAACATTCCTTCTATTATATTTCCCCTTCTTCCCCCCTCTCTCCCACCTCATTTCTCCTATCCCCAGGAATGCTGGGGTCTAGGATTTCTGGGGAAGGGTGTGTGAATGCCCCCCTCCCCCAAATTCTTCCCAAAGGGCTGGGGACGGGGCTGGGCATAGTCTGAATCTTTTGCCTGAACACCCCTCCCCCAGTTTGCAATGGTGGTGGCTGTTTTTCCAACCAGATTTGTGAATCTGCGAGCTGCAGGGCCTCGGTCCCTCCCCCAACCTGCCCCTTTTCTCTCTGGCTCCCTGATTGTAGGGCCGCAGGGGATGGGGATGTGTGTGTTTCTCTCTGTCTGTTTATGTGGGTGGCTTTTTTCTTTTTTTTTCCAGAGGAGGGGGCAGAGGTACTTTTACCCATACCTCCTTCCTAGCCAGTGTCTAGGGCTGGGCTTTTTTTTTTTTTAAATGTCTTTTCACCCCATTGTTTTGGACCTGCGTCCTGCGCTCTAGAGGGCTCAGTATGTGTGTGTATATTATTTTTAAAGCACTGTCAGGCTTACGCTGGATAGGATGATTTCATGATTTCCTGCAAACCCTATATCCCTGATCCATTCACCCTCTTCATTTCTTACCTCCTTCTCTACTTTCCCAAGTTAAAATGTCAGAAGGATGTAGACTACAAAACATTGCTGTGGAACAGTCAAAGGGTAGATTTTTGCATATTTTTGAGGTAGCCTTCCATTTTTAAGCCAGTTTTTTTTCCTATGTTTGAGAATTTGAATCATTGTCGATTTTAAAAAATCGCTTAAATTTTTTGTAACCTTGCTTGTTGGTAAGAGAGAAGATCTTATAGTGCAAGAAACAAGGTTTTTGCTCTCTCTCTGGTTTAGATGTTTGGAGATATGACTGGAGAAGGAGCAGTCTTTAGTTTCCAGGTTCTTAGGTCGTGAAAAGGTGGGAGAAGTATTTTTTCTTTCTTATTTTTTGAGACACCATTGAAATGGAATTTAATAGTCACCGTTTCACTCTCTCAGACCTCAGCTTCTGTGGTATTTAGAGACAGAAAGATAGAAAATATTGAATTCCATGAGTTTCCTAGGATGGTGTCTAGATTTCACCGTGTGTTTTAAGTGGAGTTGCTGGATGAGCTGTGATTACTGGTTTGTGCTGAAGGAGCAGGAAAGACTCAATATCCCCCAAAGATGAGTGTGTTGGAGTGCCAGGAGCAAGGGGGTTATTTGGAAAAACAGTTTTAAAGCGCTATTGCTAAAAAGATTTAATAATAAACAGGATGTAACTGTTCAGGGGCCTGCCAGATGGCTTCCCTTCCCCCCTCTAAATAAGAAACACAGTACTGTTGGAAATGCTGGCTGGATTTGCCTTATAAAGTAGGAAAGTGCTGTTTTATATGCCAAGTGGTGAAAACCTACCTTTTAATATATGGAAGAAAAAAGATGCCTTTTAAAGATAGAGATGAGCAGATATATAATGGCCGAAAAGAGATATTTAAAAACTTTGAATTTGTTATTTGCTAAGTATTTGGCTACCTAGGGCAAAGCCTTCACCAGGTGTCAGTTTGTTTACAGAATTCTTGAAACTATCCCATGGGAAATTTACTGTCATCCAGGTTTCTTTTCGTGTATTGGTACAGACAGCACATTGCCATCAATTTAGCTTGGGTTTTGTGACCTTCTACTTTTAATGATTTGGGAAAGAATTTATTGTATAACCAAGTAAAAATGCAGCAGCAATATCTAGGGTACAAGGAAATGCTCTTTGTCACTCTTAAGACTTAGTCTAGTAAATTCTGTAGCCCTGAATGCCACTTGTGGAGTCTAGCAGTGCCCGTAGCTGTGACTGGGAGGCCTAGGACAAAGAGGGAAGAGAAGGAAAAAAGGTATGGGAGAGTAGAAAAGGTTAGAGGTTGCAGAGAGAAAGAGGAAAGCAACCAGAGGTGTATATGTGGTGCCATTAATGCTCCTCTTTCGGTGAACACAGGCTAAGGTTTCAAAATAATTACTACTTTGAACCTAAGAGTAGCATTTGGAACTGTAGGGAACCTTGAGGGTCACTCTGGTTTAGTTCTTCTTTTTATAGGTATAGAAAAAGTGCCACCATTAATGACCCTGGTGCTGATTTATATAAAGCATTAGGTTAGTCACTGCTTTAATAATTAGAGAAGTACTGTAGGTTGTCTCAGGAGGTACTGGTACTGGTACTGGTACTGAGTTTCCCACCAGTAGAGAGATCTTCCAGTTGAGGCACTGTGGTACTGTGGAAGGAGTGCTGGATTTGGAGTCAAAGAGCCTAGGTTCACATCTTTGCTTTGCTACTTATGTCACTATGGGCCAGGCCCTCAGTTTCCTTATCTGTAAAATGAGGGGGTGGTTACATTAGATGACATTCTAAGGTCCATTCTAGCTCTAAATCTATGAGTGTTAAGGATTTTGGAAAGAAGATTCCTGTTTTGCTACAGGTTAGACTAAATTATTTCCAAGGTTCCAGCCAATTCTGAGATTTTATGACTGTTATCTTTATTCTTTGTATTTACAACAGGACTGACTTTGTTCAGCATGTAAACCCCCAGGGACTCAGCCTTTTGGGTTTAGTGTACCTGGGGAGTCTTCACTAATTAATGCATTTTGTTTTTTCCTCCGATTCTCTCTTTTATAGTCACCCCTCCTAGGACAGAATATTTTCTCCTACCAATTTTCTTGGTTGTTGGGTCTGGCTGGAGCTCCTCACTAATTTACTTCCCCAGTTTATTTTTAATTTGAACTGTATCATCTAAATGTCAATTGATGATGTAGCAAACAAAGGAGGATAGCTGTGTGGTGTAATGGAAAATTAATTCAGTAGGCATTTATTAAGTGCCTACTATGTACCAGGCACTGTGCTCTGGGGATACAAAGAAAAGCCAAAACAAAACAGAAACAGTTCCTGCCCTCAAGGAGCTCACAATGTAATAGAGGGAAACAACATGCAAACAGATATGTGCAGACAAGATATATCCAGGCTAAATTGGAGATATTCTCAGGGGGAGGGCACACTCACATTAAGAAGGCCCTTGGAAAGGCTTCTTGCCGAAGGTGGGCTTTTAGATGAGATTTGATGGAAGCCAAGAGGGAAGGAGAGAATACCAGGCAAAGCGCATAGCTGACTAGGAGATGGAATGTCTTTGTGAGAAGAACAGAAAAGGAGGCCAGAGTCACTGGATCTCAGAGTAAGTGAAGGGAGTAAAGTGGAAGAAGACTAGAAAGGTAGAAAGAAGCCAGGTTAAAAAGGCTTTAAAAGCCAAACCAAAGATTTTCTATTTGATCCTGAAGGCAATAGAAAACCATTGAAGTTTGTTGAATAGAGTGACATGGCCAGACTTGCACTTTAAGATTAGTTTGTTTGACAGATGAGGATGGACTGTATTGGGGAGAGGCTTGAGTTAAAGGAGGCAAACTTGGAGACAGGAGACCTGCGTTCCAGTCACAGATCTGCTGTTAGTAGTTGCATGAATTTGAGCAAATCCCTTCATTTTTCTGGGCCTTAGTTTCCTCATCTATAAAATGCTTGACTAAATGATCTCCAAGGTACCTTCTACCTCTGAAGTGCTGTGTCTAGATTAAAAAAAAAAGTATTGTTTTGACTTCCTAGCCACAATTTGGCACCCAAATGAGAGTGAAATTTCCTTCCCAGAATTCCAAGCCTTTCCAGCTATTTATCAGGAACCCTATTAAATAGATAGCCATCTAGTCCTCTGCAGAAAAATGGGCAGGAGAAAAGAGAGAGGGACCCAATTCTGAAACACAAAAGACTGAGACAGTATGTCTCTTTCCAAGACACTAAATGATTTGCTAAAGAAGCCATGTAAACTACCTTCTTGGAAATGTTCAATAGAATGGGAGAAACTTCTTTTGTTACTTTGTATTTTCTCCATGTCTCAGTAACATCATCTGTGAAATGAGCAGCTTGGACTAGATGGAGGTCTAGGTTACCCTTCAGCTCTCATGCTTTGCATTTACTAAGTTTCTACTTAGTTGTTAGCATTTTTCACACTTTCTTAGTTTATGTCTATAGAATCTAGCTCTTTGTTCATGGGATATGGCAGTCCTTGCAGGTTGTCATCCTTTCATTTATCTGGTGCCTATTTTATAGTCTTTTTCATTTTTCCTTCTGTCTTTGAGAGTTGAAGTTGAAGTTGGTGGCTCCCTCCTAAAGTTGTTGTTATTATTTTATTAACGAATAGGACGTGGAAATGATGGGAAGAAAAAATTAACTTCTCAGTTTTTCTAATTGGTTTTTTGAAGAGGGAGGTTGAAACTTATGACAAAACCCCAACTTTTTGAATACT